TGTTACTCAAAAATCTTAAAAGTTCCAGTGCCGACACCTTCTGGAGTCGTTGCTTAGTTTCCTGAAAAGAAGCTCAAATCAGGACAAAGTCTCGTTACAGTAGAAATTCCCCTCCCTCCCTTTTCCCCCAGCTCCTTCCCCTGCAGCTGTCAACAACTGGACCTAAATGTGACCCTCCCCTGCAAAGGTTTGGGGCTGAGGGTTTTTTTCAGATCCAGGCTCAGTTCTGTTACTTCAGTTTGTGTTTCTGTTATTTATAAACTGTACATTTATATACGTGTGTGTGTGTGTGCGTGCGTGTGCGAGCGAGGGAGCCAGCGCCCGAGTCCCGCCTGGCCAGGTCACCCGGTGTGGCCTTGGGGCAGCAATACCCAGGGCGATTCCCACGAGGGGCCTGCGGGCACCAGAGCAAAGCGGCCGCTGGCCAGAACGGTTTGTGATCGGCTCCTTTATTTTTCTTTTTTGTTCTTGCGCTTTCTACAGTAAGAGGCTGTTCTAGTGCAAACTCGTCAAAGTGTAAACAAAACAAAAACACTCAGATTTTTATCTTAATACGAGTCTTAATTTTTTTTTTTGTAAATGTTTTCAGTGTTTACTGTAATGTATCTATCTCACTAACAGTTGTATATAGTGACTTACTTCTGGTGCTGCTTATTCGGTCAGGATTTGGCTCTGTCTCACTGCTGTTTGGGAGAGGTGGGCTCAAGGTAGCAAATCTGGATCCGGACACAGGTTATGATTTCAGCCTCCTCCCTTTGGGGACCTGAGGGAAGGGGGAGCGAGAGAGAAGCCAGGGATCCAGATTTGGACTTGGTCCGTCTCAAGGATTCTGTTTTAAGAGTTTTTGATTTGGGGTTTTGTTAAACTGTAGTGACCGCTTCTGAAAAAAAAAAATTGAGCAAAGTTTTGTGTAAATGGGGATGAAATGGACTGAGCAGCATCCCAAGGTCTCTGCGGACTGTCAGGATCATCATTTTGGACAGGGACTATGGCTTCAGTGCCAAAAGACCGGAGGGACCCAAGTCCTTCCCCAGATAATACTACAGTGTAGTCGCCAGCCCCTTTTGCACCAGTTGAAACAAATCCTGCCGCCATCCAAAGAGCCCTGCGTCACTCCGCATTGTCAATTGAGCCAGGTTGGGTTTGTTTTCCGCTTTCGCAGTTGTGAAGCGCTGATTGCACTGTGAGAACACGGAGTCCTCGGGCCTGGCAGCCAGCCCCAGCGGTTGCTGCAGGGCAGGGCACAGGTTCTCTTACTACAAATATTCCTAAAGGGAAAAGGGACTTGGTGGGCTTGAGCGAGGCACCACAGGCTCTCCTAGAAAAGCAATCAGCAAGTAATCCATCATTTCCAAAGTTTAGCACGCTCACAGGCCTCCCTGTTCCTAATGTCCATACCCAGATGTAACAGAAAACATACCGAGGGTTGTTCTGTGTTCAACAAGGAGAGGATTTTTATTTCTTTTTAATCACAGGAGGTGGAAGAATGCCCTGATGCATTCGGCCAGCGTGGCCACAGCTGGGGCTCATAGATTGGATCTGCCAGGGGCTCAGCCCGGGGAGATGCCCTGGTGACGGTAGCGCCTGCGGGCAGCTCCACCGAGGTCCCTGCCCCATCCGTAACGTGGAGCTTTGCCTGGAGAGGGCGAAGCAGAAAGTCCAAAGGGAAGAACCGTGACACTGTCCCGGGTGGGCGGGAGGGCCCCTGCGCAGCATCTCCTGGGGGCAGCCTCCCCCCAGGGGTTCGTGTTCGGAGCGAGCCAGGCCACCAGCCCGGCCCGTCCCGGAGCAAAAAAAGGGTCACGGCCACAGGAGATCCCTCAGGTGGCCCCGGGAAGGGGCACTGTCCATCTCCAAGCAGGTCGCTAACTCTTGAGGGCGATTTCCGAGGAGAAGCTCAGCCTCAAGGCTCGGACAGGTGGTGCCTGCCCTGCTCTGAGAACCACCAAGCCCTGCTCAACCCCGCACAGAAAACTGCTGCCTTTTTCTTTTTGGGGAAAATGACACATGGAGGGGAGAGGGAGGACAACAGCGGCATGTCACCATGCAGCTGATGGGCTTTACAAACCGAATCCAATCTCGAGGGCATTGCACAACATTCAGAACCATCCACGCTTTGAACAAAGGGCGTCACGTCCTAGCATTGACTTTCACAGATCACCCGAGCTGTGACACTGCTGTAAATGCCACGCGGTTCTGCATCAGCCACCAGTACCCCAGAGTGCAGTCTCCATGGTCACATCTTCCTTTATCATACATCACTGTGTCTTAAGATATACCTCTCTCTGTATATCTGCTTAGGCTGATACTTGTTCCTGATAAGCAGTCGCTATGTTTTATATCCTCTTATAAAGAAAAAACAAATCTTTTTTTGTAAGTATGTTTAAAAACAAAAAAAAGCAAAGTGGAAGTGTT